CAAATCTCTGAGAGGGCAGGGCCAACATTACATCACTAGTGAGGAAATCTAAAGACAAAGGGTTAAGTTCCACTTGGGAGGGGAGAGATGGAGGAAGGAAGGCAGATCTTGGAGGGTTTTGAATTCAGAGGGAAGTGAGTTTTTTTGTTTTTTTTTTAAGAAAACGTTTGTTCCTTTCCAGGTACACTTGATTACTCACTGTTAAGTAGGTGGAAGTCGATGAATGGGTAGGAGCCGCGGCGTTCAGCAGGAACCCCCGTCTGACCCCTTAGTCGTACATCTCCTGGAAAACAGAAGATCCAAACAAATGTTTGAAAACGTTGCCAAGTGTATTCACTTTTCCTCTGTAAATCCTCTTACCCACTTATGTCACGGGAACCGACAGCAAATAGCAAGGGAAAAATGATTTCCATTCACCTTGCTCAAGAGAGTGCCATGTAGGAAGGGCTATTTAATGAGTGCTGAGCCTAATGAACTTGGCAAAATCTAGAAATGAAGCAGCGCTCTCTTTTAGATTTGCCTGGATGATGGGTCTGTGAAAATGTTAGTAATTTACAGAGTTTCACAGCCTTTGTGTATTTCCAAGGGCCATAAAGATGAAACATCTTAATGTGGAAGGAAAAATGGTGTGCTGAGATTAGAGCTTTTATTCTTACTAGAAGTTTAATCACCCACGGCGTCGTTTCTCTTGGATTTAGCACACTTGTTTTCTTTCTTTCTTTTTCTTTTTTTTTAACATATCTTTATTGATTTCAGAGAGAGGGAAGGAGGGAGAGAGAGAGATAGAAACATCAATGATGAGAGAGTCACTGATCGGCTGCCTAGCCCGCACCCCGGGCATGTGCCCTGACCGGGAATCGAACCCCGATCGCCTGGATCCTGGGTGGATGCTCAACCGCTGAGCCACGCCCTGCCGGGCCTTAGCACGCTTGTTTTCTGACTGACGACCACTTTCCTGGTTCCCCAGGGTGTGTCACTGACGTGCTTCAGAACCTGCCGAGAGGAAGGCCAGCCTAGCTCCAGGTACTTGACACTTCGCCTCCCTTGGACATACGCTAGTCTGGAGAGTTTCTATTGCTTATTTGTAGGTTTCTTTTAATGCCTGTGTTACTTTCCTTTTTGGTGTGTCCCGCCTTCCTGATCAAGGGGGGAAATGAAGTATAGTGGAGGGAGCCTGGACTTTAGAATAACATAGACCTTGAATAAAGCAGGTCTTGCCTCACTTCAAGGTGTAATTGGTTGGAGAATATAAAATAACACTTGCTGCCTGGCAATAAATGCTGGATTTATTGCCTTCTACATTCCTGCAAAGTAGGAATCATGTGAATTGCATGTTCTGCATTTTTTCATAGTGCTTTGTGTGTTGTCTGGTACTTAGCAGATTCTAAGTGACAAAGATAAATGGAAATACCGAATTCCCAATTAGTACATACAACATAAATCAGAAGAGAGATAAAAATACATAACACCTAATATAATATATTTCTGAATATCTGAATCAGGAACCGTTTCTTCCACGACTAATGGGTCTACTCCCATAATCCACTATTTCCCTGACATAAGGTGACACTGTGACCTCAGCCTGAGAGTGGAGAGGAGGAACAAGTCTTTTTAACTCCTGGGGTTAACCAGGGCCTGGCTGAGATCCTCATTGACCGTAACCCATGCAATTGACAGTGTTGAAAATATCCCTCATAGGTGAGCCTTATGTGCACTTGGGCATATAAACTGCAAGCTCTGAGCTCTTGGGCTATTCTCTACTTAGAATTTTATATTGGTGCCTTATTTAGTGCTTTGTATAATCTAATGTTGTAGTGATATATTGATATTAAAGAATGTTACAACTTATGGACTATAGTGAAGTGGGAGGAGGAGGGAAGAGGTGGAAAAGTATATTTAAAATATGAATATAATCTGACATCAAAGAAGGGAATGCTGTTAGCATTTGATAAGTTTGTGGGGTGGGTGGTCAATAGTTAGAGGAAAGCCACTGGGAAGAGTTGAAGGGTTTACCTCTCTTCAGCTGCTGTCTTGAGCACCCTCTATTTGTAAATCTCTAAAGAGTTGATGAAGCACATTCACAAAGTTCACAGTATGTTCATTTTCTTGTTTATCTCATTAGATCCTCACAATAGCCTCATGAAGAGAGGCACTATTCTTACTTTATAGGTGAGAAAGTAGAGACCCAGAGAAGAAAGCGAGGGACTGCTGTTCACCCTCCTAGCCCCAGCTCAGGGCTCAGGTCCCCTAAAGGCACTCAGTAGATGCCTATTGACTTTAATTGACTGCCTGAGTTTATGGTGCTTTAAACTTATAATTAGCAGAGCTAGTCCTTAAATCTAGGTTGTTAAACTTCACAGGCTGAGCTCTTTCCTCAATACCATTGGTTTCTAACCTTATAGAGTGTGCACAGCTGGTTTTTAAAATGAAAACAAAAATTACAGACCGCAGATGACAGAAGCTGTACTATGAGATAGTACAGCCTGTGAGATAGTACAGCATGGTAAAATGATATAAGAAATTCAGCACTACCTATAAACGAACTTACATTTTATAAATGATAGAAAGGTAGACATATACTTGAAAAATCATGCAGATGAGACCATGTTAATTTGGTTTACAAAGCCTGCTGGGCTTGTGGATTTGCTGACCTGTTTTGTCATCCTTTTGGGCTTCTCCTAGGGGTTTCAGGCTCACCAACTAGAAAGCATTTCTCCACTAGTATTTTTTTCTTAGTATTACCAAAGAGTTCCTCTTAGTTTTGTAGTCCTGAGAGCACGGTGCTCCCAGAAAACTTCTGTATAATATCAATGTAAGTTTTAAAGCCTCTGTCAGAATTTATTCCATTTGTCCATCTGAGAGTAAAAAGAGAGTGATATGCCAGGAATCAGGGAACTCCTGTTACTGAGAGGATCAGTATGTCACCATCTTGGGTGACCTTGGGCAAATTAATAACCATTTTGAGGTCCAGTTTTCTAATATTTAATTATCATAATTATAGCAGTTTTGCCTACTCCAAGGGGCTGTTGTGAGGAAATTATAAGGTGCATGAAAATAACACGATAGTTTACATTTATTGAATATTTATACTCTGCTCAGCATTTTACATGCCTTTTCTCATATCATCTACCCAACAACCCAGTGAAGGAGGTATTATTATTAGACTATTTTACAGGCGAGGAAACTGAAGCCAGTGAAAATTTGATAATTTGTCTGAGATCATAGAATAAGTGTGGAGCTTGAGCTCAAACTCAGCATTGTCTCCAGTCTCTATGTTCTTACCCATCCTCCCAGATTATCAGGATAAAAAGTACATAACCAGTTTAAGTATTCCTTTTTTTGAAAAAAATAAAATAAAAAAAATCTTTATCGATTTCAGAGAGAGGAAGGGAGAGAGAAAGAGAGAGACAGAAACATCAATGAGAAAGTCATTGATCAAGCCCGCAACCCGGGCATGTGCCCTGACCAGGAATCAAACCTCGATCGCCTGGATCCTAGGTCGATGCTCAACCCCTGAGCCCCGCCCAGCTGGGCTAAGTACTATCTTTTGATTACCCAAAGGTATCCTTTGATTGTGCTTTGCCAATAAACCAAACATATATTCATCATGGACCCTGGAAACTGAATCCCGGGGGAATCTACCCCCTTGGTGGATCAAAAGTCAATCAGACGGATGTTGTTTACTCAAACAGCAGGGAAATGGGCTGTAAAATCAGGCAACCAGATCCTGCTCGGGATCAACAAGGCATCTGTTATTTTCAAATAAGAAATGGGAAGCAATTATTAAAAACAGTATTTAGCAAAACTGAAATTACCTGGCAACAAATTTACTCAAACTCTTAATTAAGTAGAGATTTCATAATACAACCCTACTTTTTGGAAAAAGAGACAAATAGCAACAATAGCAAAGATACCTAAACAAACAAACAAACAAAAAGCAGCAGCAGCAACTACAAATCCCATACCCGAAAGCTTCCTTTCAGTGCTACGCTATAACTACAATTACAGTCTCAAAGCGGATTACTCATAACCCTAATGATGGCCTGTAGATGTAGTAAATAGTTGTTTTAGAAAAGGGTTAAATCACGTTAACAACTAGTAAAGCAGCAGGCAGGGCATTTTAAGTGGGCTAACAATGCATTTTAGAAAATTTCCAATGAACCAAACATTCCCTATCTTGAGTATTCTATTTCACTGAAGCTCTACTATGGTAAAATTAACAATTTCAGTATATATTTATAATATAGAAAGATCCTGCTCCTTCTCCTTGCTTTCGTGAAGCTAAATTGCTTCAATATGCTTGTGGGAAGAGAGAAATAATTCAGTTAACTACAGTCCCCGGAGGAGCGGAGGCCACTGGCTGATGTCCGAAGAACAGAACAAGTGGCGTCCTGCTGAACTGCTTTTACTGGCCGTGGTCTCAGGCAATCATCTGTTTACCTAAGGCCTTATATCCAAGCTAAACAATTATTTTGACTATTCATTAGGCCCTTGTTTGACTTAAGCGACTTTCTTTCTGGCAAATGAAAGGCGCCGTGGAAGCGGGTGGGAAGCGTTGACAGCTCCACCGCGTCCTCAGTCTGTTCTCATTGTGTTCCAAACCGAAACAAACTGCAGGGGAACTCTTAGTTTTGAAAGGGCTGCTCCTCGTTTGCGCCTTCGGGCTGAAAACATAACATGCCGTCCTTGAGTATGTATTTAAGGCTGCAAACACAGGCAGCGAGCTGAGCTCCTTGGCTCCAGGAGCCGAGACCTGGCGACAGCCGCTCGCCCTCCCAGGGGACGTGGGTCCGGGATGGACCTCTTGCCCACTTGGCCTCTCGAGCCGTCTCTGTTTAATCAAAGCTTGTGCTCGGGAGCAGACGTTATGTGGCCTCTTATGTAACTGGCAACAGAGCGGAGACTCTGATGGTGATGACAACTTACAGTGGCTGAGACACGGGCCACATGACAAGAACCAGGCTCGGGCCCCATCGTGGTGTCAAGGTCACTTCAGGGTGGGGGCAGGGGGGAGGAAAGGGACAGAGCAGTAGCTTCTATGTTCCCATCACCTCTGAGACAGATGAACTGGATAATGGCAATGACTGCAGAGGACATGGCCTGGGGATGCCCAGCAGGGGTGTCACGGGGACTATGAGACGGTGGCAGTGTGAGAAAGATTCAAGTCCAAATACAGTGGGAGAGAAGAAGCTCTCAGAAAGGTCCCCCTCGAACTTTCTTAGGCATGGCTAATTCACGTCACTGTTGCAAACTTGCACAATGAAGGCAGAGAGAACCCAGATC